TGAGGCCCAAATGCAGCTCAGGAACACACACTGGTAACTGAGACCCTGTTCTCACAGGTCTGTATGGCTAATTGAGATGTATGGATGAATTTGTGGAGTCTGACCTCAGATGGGATCAATTCAATATCAGTTAGCTGGAACAACAGTTCCACATGCTGGTTCTGTCACCTGCTTTGTCCTCACCCCTCCCTGTGTGAGAACTTGCCTCTCTGGAAGGCTGTTCCCAAGACTGTCACAAAGATGTCATCTCCTTGGCTTTTTGCTGTGGTTCACTCATTTGTGAAATGAGTGTAACAATTACTTACTTGACAAGGAAGTCAGAGGCATTCATGCATTCATGCCTCTAAAGCCTTTCAGGATCCTCACCAAAGAGCAATGTCAGACATCATTATTCACACAAACTGTTGTGAGCCAGATATCTAATTCTAAAGGAATTTCATGCTTTGTCTTGCTGCAGTGGCAATGAGAGTGAAATTCACTTTCCAGACACATAATAATATGGAGGTTCTGAATTTGCCAAGCAATTTATCTATGGGCAAATAATAAGCTTCTCTTGATGGTCACCCATTTGTTGGAAGATACTGTCAGAGCTAGACTATATATGGCAGATGAACAGCACAGGTAATATATTTACACTGATGAAGACATGATTAATTTGTATTTGTGTCTGGCATCTCCATTCAGCTCTTAAATGCTGTGGATTCTGTTACCAGCAGAGCCATTTCCTTATCAGAAATAATCAGTCATTCACTGCAGTCTGCTCCCACCCTTAGCATTTATTTTATTCTTAATTACCACGCTGTCAGCTTCATCCCTGTAGGGTAAATTGCTTTGTCCGTCAATACACTTATAAAACACTGAAATATTAAACTCCTGATAAGCAAAGTCGTGTGTACAAGAAGAAAGCAAGAAGTAAAAGAGGGAAAGCAAGAGCCCAGAGCAGCAAGCTCTCCAGCCTTTCAGCCATCTCTGGGAGCTAATGTTCAGTGCTTTCCCCATAGGCAGCGAGGAGGAGGAGGGCAGAAGAGCAAAATGAGGCACAGCAAAGACTTGTTCGGTTGATGTGAAATATTTAAGACCTGAGCCCAGGCCCACTGAATCAACTAAAAGGCTTCTCTGGAATCCCATAAGTTTTGATTAAGCTCTTGGTTTCCTAGAAAAGCAGCTTTTTATCAGCTCTTACAGCTGGTCTGATTCAGGAACAAGAAGGTCAAGTGACTTTCCAGAGATGACATGGTGATGGAGTGTCTCATTTCAGGTTAAACCTAAACCTATTCTCTTTGTCATATCTATCTACCTACCTATGCATTTATAAAACATCCATCATTGTGGTATCTCAAAATTTACACAGTCACTTAGGCAGTCTCAAAAGCTATTCTCCACCACAGACTCATACTTGCTGACTGGAGAGGGAGCTATTCTTTTTCATTCCCCTCCTGTCTCCAAGGAACTGAAAGCAAAGCTAACTTTTTTTTTTTTGCCATTGCTATGGAGAAGAGAATTACACTATCCAGGTTGTTAACTAGTAGCTGTGCAAGACAAACAGTGACAATTAAGATATGTCTTATTTAAAAATAAATTGCTTTCCTAAATAGAAATGCTAAATAGCAGCAAAGCACCTCCCTCTTTTTGCTAGTAGATGGGACCTCTTGCATCTTATTTGCTATTTGCCCCTGGCTGAAATCAGTAAAATAAAGGAACATGTTGTTTGTCTGGCCAAATATGTTCTTTATTTGCAGCCACCTCAAATAACATTTTATATGTCTCCTACTCCTAGATGTTGTGTCTCAAACCTGTATTTTGAGACACAACATCCAAAGCTTTGACAATGAAAAGATATCTTGTCTAGTCTCTGGCAATATCTAGCATTATAACCTGACATAACCTTGCAGATGCTTATTCTGTGGAAGGGCAATATATATCTCAAAAAACTAATTAGAAATCAGCATGCCAAAAGGTTAGGGAAAACAGATAATAACTAAAATACAGAAGATTACATGTGAAACTCAAATAGCTCAGTGCAAAACCAGCTTGAGAAGAAAATTGTATGGTGGAGGTGGAAATCAGAAGGAATTTTTCTTCTAAAATATGACAACCCACCTACAATCATTCACCACCTTATTATTAAAAAGATAATAGAGATAAAGCGCAGAATACATGCTCTGTAGTCATTTGACTGCAGTCAGATCAAGAACCAAAAATAGATTACTGCCCTTTAGGTCTGTTGTATGTTTTAGTAAGCTACATGTTCTGAATGTGACTAAGTGGGTTGTCTTTTAATTAATTCCAACTTTTTCTGTATTTTTTCACATCTCTTCTTCTGTTTGAATATCCTGACTTGGTCCTGGATATACCTAAGGGATCTTAATTTATGTAAACTACCCAATTATCCTTCAACTGCTATCTATCTGCTGTCTATCCCATTTGCAACTTAGAAATGAATATGAGTCCAGGGTGTGTAATTATCTGAATTATCACAAAATGAAATTGAAGAAGACTCACAATATTTTTTTTATTATTATCATATCATAGAATCATATCCTAGAAGGATTTGGGTTTGAAGGGACCTCAAAGACCACTTGGTTCCAACTCCCCTGCCATGGGCACGGACACCTTTCACTAGACCAGCCTGCTCAGAGCCCCATCCCACCTGGCCTTGAACAATTCCAGGGATGGGGCATCCACAGCTTCTCTGGCCAGCCTGTGCCAGTGTGTCCTCGCCTCACAAGTTAACTTTGCTAAACCATACAAAACTAGAATATATCCTTGCTCTTCCTGCCTCAGTCACGCATTGATTTCAAAGGCACGCTTCATGGATTTAAGGGCACCAGTACCCTTTTCAAGCTTCTGCTTAGTGATGTTCACAAACAGACTCCTTCAACAAGTGGGGCATCAACTATAGAGCTTTAGAGTGAAGTGAAAAGGCAGGTCTCATAATTGGAATGTCAGGACATTTATACTGTTCATGTCAGAAAAAGGGATACTGGAGAGCAAGGAAATTTGTGGATCAGCAAAGGCTTAAAACTTTAGATTGGGCTGTCTCAGGACATTTTTAGATGACCCACTCATCATCACAGCTGATGTGAAACAAAACAAGCTCCTCATGTACATCCAGGAAAAGACATTATTCTGGTGACTCATGCTCCAGTGCTGCTAGACAGTCCTAATCCTCTCATATCCTCAACAAGCAGTACAAATAACACTTGGCTAATGAGCGTCTCAGAAGGCTGTGGCCAGGCTGTGGAACTGTGCAAGACAGATGTTGTCTTCTAAGGCTGAACCTGAGGTCTGTGGGTTGTACTCCATCTCTGACAGACAAGAAGTTTTACACTAAGACATCAAGATGCTGCAGCAAGTCATGTATCAGGTAATCTGTTTTTCCTCCCCATCCTCTTCTCATTTGAGGTACAAGGGTTGATAATCAGCTCTGAAACCCTCCAGAATGTGCATCATTAATTATGGTAATTCTGGCACTAAGAAAAATGTCCTGGTTAGTTCTTGGTCTCAAAAGCATCCTTTGATGAGAAGTTCCACAGCTGACCTGTTGGTTCTATGAATTATTTCCTTTAAGTAATCTTGAGACTCCCACTTTTTGATTTTATTGAAAGTTCCATTTTTTCCAACCTATTCTTTCTATAGCAATAATTATCCCATTACCCTTTTCTTTTCTTTTTGACCTCTTCCTCACCACCTTATCAGGACTTTAATAATGTCCATATAAATAGTTCAGATTGCTTATTTTTAGGCTATTGACTATCTGGGAAATGTTGACCTCTTCTCAGAGATTACCACCTTTCTTTGTCTTAAAGATTTACTGAAAAATGCTTAGTTTACACTAGTTCTCATGTGTCATTAATGCCACATCTGTCTAAAGAGTCCCCTGTTGTAGTGGCCTTCTAGGATGGAGAAATTGTATCAGTGAGCAAGAGAAGAGCTACAAGTGCTGTCAATCTGTTCTTCCATAAGGCCTTTCAACATTCTTTCCTTTAAAGTTGTGAGTTTGATGGATGGACTGTTAGGTGGAAAAGGAATTGGCAGGAGGGCCATGCCCAAAGAGTTACAGTCAATGGATTAATGTCCAAGAGGACACCAGTAACAAGTGGTGTCCCTCAAGGATCCATTCTGGCACTAGTACTCTTAAATATCTTCATCTCTGAGGTAATCCATCTCTGGAATTGATTGAACTCTAAGGAAGTCTGCAGATGACACCAAGTTGAGTGGTGCAGTTGTATGCTAGAGGGAACAGATATCATCCAGAGAGATCTTGATAGGCTTGCACAAACCACCAACACTGCAGATTGCGTAGCTAGGAAGAGATGACACAGATGGGATACTGAACATTGCATGGATTGTTTTGGTGACCTTCAGTCATGGGATAAGTGACAGGATGGTTGCAGCTTCTGATGGCTAAAAGCCACCATGGTTGGTAGCTTCCGAAAACAGTTTTAGGTTGTCAAAAATGATGTGTCAAAATCCATGAAACTATGAAAATTCACAAAAACTTGTCCAAATATATGATGGAAAGACAGGGTTTAGTAAAGAAAAAAAAAGAGAAATACATGCCAGGCTAAACGGAACTTTTTTCATGAGGATATCTGCAGGACTGAGGAGAGCTGCATCCTATTTCTCAGAGATACCACACTGGAGCTGGGTACACCTGGCCATGGATCTCCTTCAACTGAGCTTTGTGATGAGGCAGCAGTTACAGGCAGAAAATTATTATTCTGGCAGCAGCAGATAGCACTGTTTGCATTTACAAAGAATGTCCTGATTCTTATCCTCAACATGTCTGTTGTAGTTTTATTTTTTTTCTAAGTGTTGTGTATTTCATAAATACATATATTAATGGATATGCTTGTGACTCATATATATAAACATTCAATGCTACACCACACTATATAGATGAATGATTGGAAGATATGACACCAAACATAGCATTTATGTGTTCTGCTGCTTGTTTTCCTGTTCACAGAGGTTTATTTATTTTTTCTCTCTCTCTCAAGTTCAAAGTGTGCTGCTCAACTAGCCCAGAAAAGAAGAGACATGTCACTGAATGTGTGCTTTGTTCAGCTTTGTGAGTATCTGATTTCTCTCTGCCACAATTCATGTTAGCTAAGCCAAAAAAACACCTACTGTACTTTGACAGTGGGACCATCTGGAGTTCATTCTTGTAATTGTTTTCAAACACAGACAGTCCTCCTCTGGCAAATATGCATTTTATGCATTTTAAAGCATCACAGGGCACGTTTATCAGTTTATTGGGAAACAAATGTTTAGTTTCATATAATTCTGAAAAAGATATTTTCAACATAGTAACTAATAATCTGGATATAGAGAAAGTGGGAATGTGTGTGTGTGTGTGTGTGTGTGTGTGTGTGTGTGTGTGTGTGTGTAGCATGGATATGTAATCCCATAGTGGCCCACCTGCAAGCTCAAAATTGGAGATGACAGTCAGGGACAATTGATTTTCCCCTCTAGTTGCTTGAAGAATGTCTTTTTCATTGAAACTCTTGTCAATTCTTTGCAGGAATTGCATCTGGGAAATTAAAGACATTCAAACTTGAAAGGAATTGCAGTGCAAATGCATTAGCATCAAGACTTATTTGCATCTAGATACATATTCTGATTGCATCTTTTATAGGTGAGTAGAGAACACAGTGTTTGTGGGCTTTATGGGGATGCACCATGAGCTGATATTTCCCAGGCAGAATGTGGAAATTGATGTACCTAGTATAATCATATGCTTTTCTGTCTGACACTCAAGAAATGTAGGCTTGCTGGGTCTGATTTCCAAAAGTAACCAAGCAACTTAGAAGTCCATGATCAAAAAAGCATTAAAAAACAGACTTGCATAGGAACTGAAACTGCTAGGGAGGCTTTCAAAGCCTGAAGACAAGTTTAGGATCCCAGGTTACTACTGCTTTTCAATACCTTGCCCAATTGTCCTTTTAGCTGATCTGCAGTAGATTACTATCTTTATATTTAGATGCTTGGATATCTTTGAAAATCTGTCCCTACATGAAGAAAACACCTTCAAGTCTTCAGCACACTGAAATGATAAAATATTTATTTTCTCCCTAGGAGCTTTTGATAATTACCTGTCCTCTGTCATTCTTATTTACTAGTTAATGAAGCAGTGCTCCTAGGAACTGAAGAGGCAGCATTCATTTTTCTCAGTGTTAGACATTTCCACTGTATGTTTCATCAGCACAGTTATTCCCTATTCTGATGGAAAGTACCAGCACATGATTTATTTGACCTGTGTTAGACAGCCACACAAATATGAGGCGAATCATGCCTAGAGATGCTTCTTTCTCTCCAGTTCTCTATCAACAAAATCAGGAGAAGCAGCTAAGGTGTATATGTCTAGATTAAAGATACAGCATCAGGGGAAATACAATCAGCAGATCCTAGGAAATTACTGTTATTATTTCCAACTACTTGGCAATAGAACACTGAATCCTGTTCAAGAGGGATGGGGTGATGAGAAGAATCCCAAAGGGTGCTACCAAAATGGTGAGTGGTCAAGGTCCTAAAGTGGACAAACTCCAAGGAGATACTGTGGAGATGACTATATTTAGTGTGGAGAAGATTAAGGAGAGCTACCATGACACCTGCAAAATGCACACAAAACACAAAATGCAGTTGTAAAGATGGCAGAACAAATCTCAACTCCCTAGTGGCTGATGACGTAAGAGGGGACAACAGCAACAAACTAAGTGAGGAAGGTTCAGACTGGATTTCAGCAAAACAGTTTTCAGCAGAAGGATTGTTTAGCAGAGGAACAAGGTGTCCAGAGGTGTGAAACACTTCTCCATTTTGGGAGGTGCTCAGGACTCAGTTATATGGAGCCCTGGCTGATCCGGCCTGGTGACAAGTTAGTCCCACATTGGTGGAAGGTTGGCTAAGAGGCCTCCAGGCCATGTCACCAACATGTCTTTAGCTGAAAAAATCCCACTCTTTTTAAGTCTGAGAAACTGAATTCTGAAAACTGAACTGAAGTCTGAATTTAGTGGTGTTTGCAATTTTTCTGAAATGCTTACACTACCCATCTTTGGGTCTTTTCTCATTCTTGATGAGCACACATGATCATTTGCATTTTCAAATCCCCTGGCACCCAGGGGAATATTCTTCTTTCAACCTACTGATGATGTAAGACTGATGTGAAGAAATTAAACAGATATCCAACAATTGAAATTCAGGATTTTTTTCTCACAATAACCAGAAATTCAGGGGTGGTTCTTACTGTAGGGACACTTTGACCCATCCCCACCACAACTTTATAATCCTGACTGGCATTTTTGTTTAATTTTTTTTTTATTCTAGTATGCAGAGGCAGCATAATTCATTAGGAACCCTTTTTGGTTATCTGGAACTGCCCTATGGAAACTTATTAAAACACAAAACTTTTTTCCTTTATTTCTCAAAAATTTTTTAATTGCGGGTTTTGTTTTTTTTTTTAAACTAACACTAGGAGGTGAGAAGTAGTTCTTATTTATTCACTCACTTGTGTTGTAGATCTCTAGGGATTTTACCATCTGTCCCCAAGCTTACAGAGATAGGAGTGCATCATCTTGGGCTGAGAGTGATAAGCAATGTATAGGAGAAAGCTTAAAAACCCATTTACAAGGTAATGGAAATTTCTCTGCTTCCTGAAATATAATAACTAAATATTTTAATCTTGTTACTATTGACTTGGTAATGAATAACCTGCACCCTTCTTGTTATGTATAACCTGTTCCATTTTAGTTATGTATTAGTGTTTTCTTAAAACTCTCATGTGTTATACACATGCATGCACACATAAAAGCCCACCACAAAAATTTATGTGGAGATTGCCACTAGTCAAAATGCATTACAGCTACCACCAGAGAATTGTGAAAACCAGATCCCTTTTTCCACTGATCAAGATTCAAAAGTAAAATGTCTTCAAACACTGTGAATATATTTGCAAGGATTCTAGGCTTTGTTACAGATGCTTAGATAAATATAAAACTCTGAAACCTTTCACTTGGCTATTATGAGCAGTTATGCAAAGTCTGACTTCTTCTAAGTCAGTAATTGAAATGAGGTATGTGTAGAAGCTGGGTAGAAATGTCACACTGAAAAGAAGATGAACATCTAAAATGGAAGCTTCCTCAGATGCTAAATATTTCATTTCTACTCATGAGGATAGCTTTAGTGTACATCATTTAAAATTATTTTTTCTCCGAGGTCATGGTAATTTTGGAAGTGCAGGAGCTCAGATTTCTGCTCATGTCTTTATGAAAGAGAGAAATCAAGCCAAAACAAGCCAAAATAAGCCCAAACAAGCCAAAACAGCAGAGGCAGGGTCGAGAACAGAGAGTGGGGTGAAATCACACTAGAAGGGAAAGACTAAGCACAAATGTTTACACCACTATTTCCTGTTTCTTCCTCTCCTTGGCTCTATTTTACACAATTTTACTAATTCACTCAGGCTAAACAAATAGGATGCTCAGAAAGTGATTCACTGTGACTCTCTAGGGTCTATAGCCCCACTCCAGTGAATGTAACTTTGTGCAGCAGTCTGGCAGGCACACGCTGAAGAAGAAGGCAAGCAGCCTTCCCCTCCACAACTCCCACTGGCCCCCGTGACCTTACTTGGGCCATGCTTTGGGAAATATGAGCGGATACCAATGGGTCTGTGTACTTTGTGGACATGTGAAAGGCTCCAATGTCTCACTCAGCAGTAAAAAATAAGGACCTTTGAACACAGGCCACAAACCACCACAGAATATTATAGCCTGAGAGATGAATTCATAAGGCAAATATCTTGAGACTACAACTACAATCAGAAACAGAAACAAGTTTCCAAAAGGCCATTTGCAGCTTGTTTCTACTAAAATAAGGAGAGTGGAGCAATCTTCCTAATGCTGCCATTCTGTCCCTCTGGTGAAAAGATGTACTGAGTCTCAGGTCAATTAATTTGTCATCCAACATCCTTGTCTACTTTAGCTTTGTATGGGCTGAATTGTGACCAGCAGAGCCACAGTTTTGGAACACCACACTCACAAGGAAAAGTGCTGTTTTCCATGCTCAAGAGGTCAGAGACAGTTTATGTAGGAAACCAGAACCACACAACTTTAAGGCTGAAAATTTTTTTAGGTTTGCTTTGCTGCTGTGTTATGACAGCACAGCACCATGGATGGGACAGAGATTCAAAATATGTCTGGGGAAACACCTTCTAGGAGCCAGGACTCACAACCTGGTAAATGGTAAATATCCAGGTGTATGTGGCGCAATAAAATACTGCATATAGGTTTTAGCTGTGGCACCTAAAGTAGTCTTGCTTCTCAGGAGCAAACTGCTGGAGCAAAATGTCCCTGATGGAAGCATAGGTCTGTTGTCTGGAGAAAAAGCCACAGTCCCCAGTCCTCAGCATGGTGCTGCAGAGCCAGTGTGAGTGACTCACTCCCACCACGCAGCTAGGAAGGAAGGCAGGCATAAATCCTGGCCCCACTGAAATCACTGGCAGGCTGAAGAGTGTGATTTATGACTGACCCGGGTACATCCAGAATTCCACACCATCTAATTTCCTAACACTTGTGATTTACAAAGGTGAATCTCAGCCCTGCTATAAACAGAAACAGGACACAGAGGTAAAATATAAATCAGAGAAGTTGTGTTCAACTGCACCAGTTCTGAATTTTGCTTTTGGATTTTCCTAGTTCCAAAAACATATTGACTACAGAGTTTGTGCATTTCAACTTTAATTAGGTAGATACTAATATGTAGCATGAATTAATCAATTAAACAATTATAACTACTTCTGTGAAACACAGTATGTGTGTATGTGAGAGTATATGAGCATGTGCCTCTACCAGGTAGATACTGATACTATGGCCTGGTAGCTGTAGAAATCAATTTGTATGCAACGATCATGTTATATCTTCTAATTTCATGAAAACTCTGAGACTGTGGATTCGTATTGATTTATTCATGCCATTTTAGGCTTCATTCTTAGGAATTGATTTCAGCATTCATTTAGAAATGTATATCAGTAAAACTGAGTAAAAGCTACACAAGCAGATCTTCTTCAACACAGATTAGCCCTAATACTTCTCATTGATTAAGTATGACAGATATGCAGTTCTACTGTTTGTCATCATGCAAGGGAGAAAGGTATGAGGGCCTTTATGAATTACAACAAATTAGAAAATACCATAAATTATTGGTCTACTGGATAATTATTGCATTAAGTTTTGCACAGAATCAAATGACATTTTGGAAAGCTTCATTTAGTACAACTAAATGATAGAGGTGTTACAGTTGAAAAATGCATACTGCAGCATGCTGTGGTACATATGGCCAGCACAAAGACCAGCCATGAGCAAATCTTCCCTGTATCAAGGATGCTTCCTGAATCTGTACTCTGTTGTTTATGTGGGACACTAAAAATGAAGAAATGTCAGGCATTCAGAATGAGCAAGAGGAACTTAATGTGAGCAATACCCCTTTTGATAAAAGGTACTGCAACACAGTGGCACTGCTTGCCCAATTTCATCAGGATGATCCCTCTGAATTTCCAAAGGGATTTAGAATTCATTGTTAGAATCTGAAGCCCAATGATTGCAGCTCTGATCTAAAACAAAAATTGAGAGGTTAAGTTTTTTTAATGCT